GAAAAATGTATGTAATATTCTAAATAAAGTCAGAATATAAGTTAAAAACACTTTATTTTTAAACATCGCTATGTTAAGTCTATGACAACCTCGCCACCCAGGCACCCGCAATTGATTGTTTGTTTACAATCAATGCCCGTGCCCCATTACGCACCATATTGTGGAAAAATTCCTTACTGAGATGAACTAAGTTATAACAGACTATCTCACTTATACTGAGGAAGACTTTTATTAACTCCATTTGTGTAATGGAAGGCTTTATTAAATTGTTTAGTCTTTATCCATTACGGAATGTCCTATTTAAATTTCAAAGACATATTCGTTCAAGGGTAGGAGAGGTAATAAAACTCTCTTACGTATACTCAACTATATAAACCTGCATATTATAAAACCCTGCCAATATAAAGTAAATTGCTTTCATTGTAATGGAAAAAATATAGAAAGTGCTTTTAAAAGGTTATATCCATGCAGATCTTATTCATATATTATCTTTATACAAAAAATAAATGTGGAGGGAAAGGATAAAAAAAAATATTTTCTTCCGAACAGACAGTAAACAGATTATGTTTCCTGAATGATTTATATTATTATTAAGCTATTCATGCAGTGTGTGTTAAATGCTTCCTGACAGAAGGAAGAATTATTGAAGACAATATAATTTTATGTGACAGTAACATTCTATGTTAGAACACTATCAGCAAATAGTGTCTGTGTAATGTGTGTCATAGTGGTAATGATGTTCTAACACACAAATAATATCATACAAAGAAATTTAATGTTTGTAGTTTATGTACTTATGAGTTTCCAAGTATAGTTAATAAGTAGTTTCTTAGTACACTGGCAATGTATGTGAAATAATTTTCTAAAGCAAACAAGAGTGGCCAATAGTTAATACTTTTTTATATTAGCTTGAAATTTATTTCTTGCAGTACATGTAATCAGAATTTTTCATTAAATTGTTGAAATTTTTCTGCTTTTAGTTGAGATACTTAGCTTATGCAGCATGGGCGAAAAATGTTTTTCTCAGAGAAGTCAGCTTATTGAACATAGTGTTATTCATCCTGTAAGAAAAGCTTATTCTTGTAGTATATGCAATAAAAGTTTTTCATGTATAGGTAATCTAACTTCTCACTTTCGTACTCATACTGGTGATAAACCGTATTCTTGTAGTGTATGTGATAAGAGATTCTCACGAAGAGATGCACTTATTCGACACAGTCCTGTTCACACTGGTGAGAAACCTTATCGTTGTAGTGTATGTAATAAGAATTTTTCAAATAGAAGTACACTGATTGGCCACCAACGTGTTCATACTGGTGAGAAACCATTTTCTTGTAGTATATGCAATAAGAGTTTTTCAGGAAGAAGTGTACTGACTATACACAGGCGTGCTCATACTGGGGAGAAACCTTTTTCATGTAGTATTTGTAATAAGAGTTTTTCAGAGAGAGGTGCACTGACTATACACGGTCGTGTTCATACTGGTGAGAAACCGTATTCTTGTAGTGTATGTAATAAGAGTTTTTCACACAAAAGTAGTCTGACTAAACACATTCTTGCTCACGCTGTTTAGAAGCTATATTCTTATATTTGTAAAGATAATATGTTACATAAGGACTGTCCAGGTAATCGCACTTGTATTCATACCTGTGAAAAACTTCATTTTGTAGCATATGTAAAAAGAGTTCTTTTCAAAAGGCTGATTTCTGTTTGTATTCACATTGGTGAGGAAACCTTTTTGCTGTAGCGTAATGTAATAAGAGTTTTTATCTCAAAAATGTTCTCTAACTTAACATAATCTTATTCAGAAAAATGATTCGCCATATTTTAGAAGTATATTTTGAAGGAGTTTTCAATAATACTGATCATTACCATTAGAGTTCATACTTGTGAGGTATGTTATTCTAGCAATATATGCAATAAGTGTTTCTCAACAAGAACTAATCTTACTAATCCAGTGTTTTCATTACAGAAAAATAATGGGAGAGAATTTCTCACCCTTTCTCAAAAACAGGGTGAGATTTCAAAAAAATAAAATAACACGAATATTTCTAATAAAGAAAAGAATAAGAAAAGGAATATTTCTTTAATTATAATACATTTTTAACATCTTTTAATTTCCAAACCATTGAATATTTTTGCTGCATCATCATATGGAAAAAGTTCTATATCTACATTTTCAGCAGCAATTCTCATTGGGTTGCCCAAATGCTCATCAGTCAATCTGTTACAATATTTTGTTTTAATTCGGTTTTGGGTGGTAAATGACCTTGCAACAGATGCTGAACTATTCGAAATGACTAATTAAATTTGTAGCATTGTGCACACACTTTCCTATCCTCTACATCTGCCAGCATAGGCTTCTCAATTATTTCTGTTTTAGTGTGAAGTCCGTTGAAGTTATTTCCATGTTCTTACTTCTTGTTAGATCTTCCAGCTTAGTTTTCGCAGACTTCAACTTTTACAAATTGCTGCAAATTGTCGGTGAGGGAACCTTATTATAAAGGACTTATTTTTTTTCAACACTTGTCGTAGCTGTTTTCATGTTTTTTTCAAAATGGCGTAAGAAGAAATTTTTTCCAAAATTCGAGAGATTCGTGCATTTTAAAATTGAAATATAGAGAGCGCAAATTGCTCACGTTAAACATTTTTGATGCGAGAAAGGAAAAAAATGCCCTGTAGTGAAAACATTTCTAATCATAGATTTATTGATCCTAGTGAGAAACATTATTCTTGTCGTATATGTCCAAAGAGATTTTCCTTTAACTTATCATATTCCGACTTGTACTGGTGTAAGTTATGATTTATTGCAGCACGTTTCAGTATAGATTTTCACTGTGTATTAAAATGACTGAACACTGTCTTCTCTAGACAGTCATTCTGTTTTGTATTTATTCATAAGCAATGTCTTTAAAATAAACTTTAATATAGAAAAGTTAAGAATTTAAATTTAAAAAAAAAAGCTTTACAAACACATTTTATTGGAACTTGGATGCTGGATAACATTACTTAACCACCAGCTATACTGGTCAAAATCATAAATTGTTATTTATTCTCTCACCATTAGTGTCCTAAGTTGAAGGTAATATTCGGTATTTTTCCCGAAAAATTGAAATAGCAATTTTATATGAAAATATCATGCAGCTTCATTTACTTAATGAATCCTTTGTAGCACACATTGTATAATTAAAATTTTTTTATATTTTTTGCTATTATTTTAAATTCTGATTAGTTACAAAACAAAATTTAACAGCCCTTGATTATAACAAAATAATTTATATTATAATTAAAGGGGAGAAGATTTAAGGTGTTAAAAGTAAATTTGATTTTATTGCAATCATGAAAGCTTTAGAGAAAGTGGTAAAGATTGCTTCATAAAATCTATTTCTTGTTTTTCAATCCATAGATTTTCCACTTGTTCACTATTTTTGAAATCTCACTTTAATGTAAACAAAAATATTGCTTTTATAAATATTATGTCAGTCATTTAAAGTTTTAGTTATCATAAATTTTTTAAATCGCATTTGAACGTTTTTGAACCTATATTCTATCAAACTTATGAAGAATGCAAAAGATTACTCAAACTGTTAAAAAATAATCAAAATTAGTAAATCAGAATTCAGTTTTTTTTAATTCCAAAAACTATTTAAATAAATAATTAAGTTTAATAAATAAATATGCAAATGTTTTTAATGTGCCATTTTAAGTAGCTGCCCAGTTCATGAATATTCCTTAAATAACTTTTTTGTTGTAAAGTCTTTATGTATAAGTGTCGGATATTAATTTGTAGTTCTTTTCTTATAATGGTTCAGCAAATTTTCAATATTTTGTTATAAATATTTCTATTTTTCTATATACGGTTGAAATAAAAGGCACTTTATTTAATTTTATACTCATACTTAGGGCCCTATAAATTATGCGGAAATTTTTTTAAAATTATGTGGCTAGTATGCAGCGATTTTTAAAAATTATGCGGCAAGGATGCGGTGTCTGTTAAAAATTATGCATGCAGGTTGCGAATGATCCAGAAAACAATTGAAACTGGAAAAAAAATCTCTTAAAAAAGTTCAACTTTCTTTACTGTTTTAATAAAAAAAAATTTCAATGAATACAGTAAAGATTTCAACTAAATTACCTTCTTATGTATTGTACATCCATTTTCTACATCAGAACAATTATTAAAGTTTATTAAAATGGAGAGAAGTTAGTCCAGAAGCTGCGTTTTCTTTCAAACTCTGTCTTTGTTTTGTAAAATTTGGCCGTAGCAGGATACAGCTCTTTCACAATCTATTGAATTAGGAAGCACTGAGAGCACTTGTTTTCCTTTTTTTGTAAGTTCTGGAAATCTCTCTGAGACTGCCTCTGAATTCCAGAATCTAATTAAGTCCTGGTTTGAACATTCTTTTACATATTCTTTGTAAACAGCATACTCGAGTTTTATATCTTGACCACTCATTCCTGGAATATTCTTGAATACATCGTCGTCCTCAATATTGAGGTTGACTATTTGTTCTGGATCGAAAACTCGAGCAGCTTTCATGAAGTTTAAGGCAGGTTGACTAAACTTGGGCCCGCGTTTTTTGAATACGTCTAGTTCTGGAGAGTAGTAAGTATTCAACATAGCAATTGTTTTGTGAAACACTTCTTGAAGAAATACGTTGCATGAATCTTTTCGTGAGTATGATGCCTGAAAATTGCATCGAAGTTTAGACCGCAGATCAAAAATCTTATTGTAAGCTTTGTGAATAGATACACCAAATGTTTCGAAAAAGAGAAGAGTATCCATTAATATCTGAGCATGTTCTGCAATGAACTGAAAGTCTTTGCAAAAGTACTTGCTTTCCACCAAAACTTTGCACTGATTGAGACAAGCAGTGTCAGGAGTAAGGTTTATTTCACTGCTAAAAAATTCTATGTAAGCAGAAGATGATGGTGACCTATTGAAGATGATGGCGACTGATTAGAAGCTATGTGCCGGGGGGGGGGGAGATTCTTGGAAAGATCTGACCAAAAAGATTCTTGGAATTGAAAAAGAAGATATACTTCAATTGAAAAAAATTGCTTACGGAGAAATTTATCAGGTAAACGAATACATTTTGCTGAAAAATAAAAATTATACAGATATGCTGCGATTACGCGGAAAATTGTAAATTATGCGGATAATTGTGAATTATGCGGATTTCGGCATCTTCGCATAATTTATAGGACCCTACTCATACTGTATATTATGACATAGTGGATACAGAAATAAAGTTTCGAAAAATTGTCAGATGTTTTTTAAAATTTATTATTTTTAGTACAATTACCATATTTTTTACAAAATATTTCTATTTTTTTTGTTTACCTTCAATTAAAATAAAATGACTTTACTTTAAAATTGCATTTGCAAGTTTCTTAATGAAATAAGTTTTAAAAATTTGTAACAGACATTCGATAAAATTTATTTCTTATTTTTTAAAAATTTATTGAAAGCAAATTAGTGTTGTAGCAATTATAATAAAGTATAATAAGTGATTAACCCTACTTTTTGCGTAAAGTAAGGATGTTTAACTGTTTTTAACAATCACGTTTCTATAGTTGAATAACCTAGTGTTTTTTGTGTATGTGGAAACTTGAACTGAGTACTATTTCAGTGTACCTGTCCACGAAGCGGACACTTCACTCTTTCATCTGTGATTGTGCCCGTGGGCACCTGTAATAATGACGTTGTAAGTATGTAAAAAAATATCGTCACAAAATATATAGTTTTTTTGTTACTCATTGTCATGTTCATTATGGTGTGAGTTTTGTACTTTATGTCAAATAAGAATACTCAGCATTATGAAAAAAATTAAATTTATAAGGCTAAATAATAAAAAAAAAATTTTGTATGAAATAAAATATTTTCATAAAATAGCATTTTTGTTCACAGTCGTGCTTATTTTGGTGTGATTTATTGTAGATTATGCATCATACACAACGCATTATGAAAAATCGAATAATCTAACTGTTGTACTGATGAGTATTGTATTTTTAACCAGTTTAGTTAATTGTGGCATCTAGTGGCAGACTTATACAGTCAATGTATGTAGTAACCCATGACAACAGTTATTAACTGCTATTATTAATCGTTTTAGGTTTACCTGGTATGTGCTTAAAAACTTACTTTTGCTTTTCGATTTGTTGAATAGTTATTTTCAATCTTTGTGGATTGTAAAATAATTATAAATCGTACTTAAATTACCATAGTTCTGAATATAATTATCAAAAGTATTGAGTACTAGCCGCCTTTAGCTGCCAGCAAGATCACATTTCAGAATTATTTTGTACAACATACATTATCCTATAATATGAAAGTGTCTCTTCCATTACCCTATAATGGAAGAGACACTTTCTGTTCTTGTATTTTTTTTAAATTTCTGAAAAAAATTTACTGGGATGATTATTTTGTAGTTTAGAGGTGTTTAGATCATGCAATTTCTCATACTTATTAGTAAAATTCAAAGCTTTCACAGGTTGAAGGGACGGGCAATAAATTACAGACATATTTTTGAACACCCCATGACATGAATATATGGCAGTGATTACTCTATTTGTATACTTTCAATAGTTGAATTAAATTTCGTAAACCAGCTTAAATATTTGTAAAAATAAGAAATTTTATAAAAAAAATAATGGTTAAAACTTCTAAAATATTCAACAACATTTTCAGAACAATTTTCAATTGATAACAAAATTATTATTTTAAAATAAAATTCGTTAAAAATTATGCAAGAAGTTTTTGAAGTAGTTCTTTTCACATACGCAAAAAAAAGAAACATTAATTTTTTTTTTATGAAATGTCATGTATGAATCGTATTTAGTGACCAATGAATATCTTGAGTATTTAAAAAGTTTTTAGCAAGTTTCTGATCAGTTTTTGTATTTTTTCGTAGAAAGCTTTGAATTATAATGTGTTTTCCACAAATTTTATTCTGTACTAGTATTAAATGAGATATACATATTTAAAATGACATCGGCATTCTGGGCATCATCCTCCATAATAATATGTTTTCTTTCTTTATATCATCACATTTCGGTGTACAGGCGACTGTTATAAGGTATCAATTGTTGTTAAATTTCGTCGTATAACGCAAAAAGAAGTTTGTTGAAAACCCATCATCATTTAGAGCTTTCTTTTTAAAAAATACAAACACTAAATAGAATATTTCTAGAAACTTCGTGAATATTCAAGATATTTAAATCGGAGTTATAGCCCATGACGACAAAATAAATTAACAGTTTTTTTTATAAATATGGCCATACTCTTATAAATATTTATGTTGGGTTTACGAAATTTTATGCAATAATTACTAATTACCAACAAAGTAATCGATGCAAGTTACAAGCTTATTGCTGTATTTTCTAGTTCAGTGTTTTCAAAAATATTTGTTTTCGTTTGTAATTTATTGCCGGCCTTTCAAATACCTGAAAGCTGTAAAATTTATTGATCAGTATAAGAAATTGCATTACCTTAAAATATCTGAAATTATAGAATTAACATAAATGTTTCGTGAGAAATTTATAAAAAAAAGTCAAAAATCGAAAGTGTTTCTTCCATTATTGTAGATCAGTGTTTCCCAAACTTATGACCTTTGTGTACCCTTTCTAAATGTTTTGTAACGCTGTGTACCACTAATTAAAAAAAATGAATGTATTTTTTACTATAAAATAATTGCACAAGTTAAAAATCACAACTGGTTGTTGATACCACTAATTATTAACTGTTAACTCTGCAAAAAATAGCCAATAGAAAAATACGTAATCGTAAAATTTCATTTTCAAATAAAATTTTTTGAAATTTTCGTTTCTTGCAAGATGTTTCGCTTAATAACGCGTACCCCCGCTAAACTATTCCCGTACCCCTGGGGGTACGCGTACCACACTTTGGGGAACACTGTTGTAGATAGTGGAATAAGCTTGAAGGGTAACGAAGCCGAATACACTTCTTCTAGCAATCCTTTATCCCTTCAGAACCAAATTTAAGTTTAGCGGATTCCTAAGCTATTGAAGTTAATGGGGCCCTTATTTGTTCAACTCCATTTTCAATACACTAATAGCAAACTTTCGTAATTTTTTTATTGTTAATTATATAACTACAATTTGTGTTATTAACAAAAGAATTTAAAAATATTGCTTGGCTATCGAAAATATCTCACTATATTAAAAAAGATTATACAGACCGCCGTAGTTTTGAGTGATCAACTTAGTTCTGCTGCACAGAAATTATGAGAGTGATAATTTTCAAATTACACAATGCGTGTAGAAAAATGCACATGGGGTATAAAGAAATTTTTGAAAAAAATAATTACATTAGATTATTAGTTTATGCAATGACAAACTTGAAATTTGACATACTAAAAGGGCCATTTTTGTTTATGAACGTAGCCAGAGCTTTTTATTTAATTTTTTATTTTTTAAAAGTATTGATTAAGATTTTCTTTTCTTTTTGTTGTTCTTGGGGCTTGGTTGTTTACCTTAATTTACCGCCCACAGCAGAAAGTACTCCCACCCTGAGTGCATAATAATACTCTCTTGATGCTGTACAGTCCGCAAAAAAAAAAATATCACCCTGAATAACTTTTGTTCTAATGATCGGATTTTCACGATCTAAGTGTCAATCTTAATGGTTCNGAGTCAGCCTTGCCCGGCCAATTACGAAAAATAATAAGTTTTATTTATTGCGCATAAGCTGCAAGTAAATAGAACTCATAAAATAAGTAAATAAGTTCAAAATGTAGAAAAAACTTGGGAAAAATTACAGAACAATAAAAAGGGGGGGAAAATAATAATAAAAAATAAAACTGCAAGAAACCGGAAAAAAAATTCCGAAAAAAGGAAAAAAAATTTCTAAAAATATCCGGAAAATAAAAGATATAATCTTTTCATCAGCTTACACGATTATATCAGCAAAAAAATAGCACTTTCTATTTTTGTATCAATATAGCCAAAGTAAAATATATCAATGCAATAGTTTGAGAAGCACTCAAAAAAATTTTACAAAAAAATTACAAACATAATGGAACACAATAAGTAAAAATATCAAGCGAAATCAGAAAATTAAGTATAAAGAAGAAACAGAATAAAACATGAAACGAAATCTATAAAGCGAGCTGCGAATTCAAATGAACTTATTACATGAACGTGAAATTTTTAAAGAATGATTTAAAATATTTTCGAAAAAAATAGCCACATTACAAAATATGAAACCAAAAAAGGAAATTGAGCTAAAAGCTTAAATAGAGGGGTTTTGTATTAAAGTGCGTTCTTACTGCAGTGTTGTAGTGCGTTTGATTTGTTAGTTACCAAGGATGGGCCCGAAAATGGATGTGAGCATTTGAAAAATTGAGCAGTAAAAAGAGTTGATGTTATTTACA